ACTTTTGCATCAGACACCCTGTATGTATCATAAGGTCTGAATCATTCGTATTATTTTAATCGTGCACGATTTATAAGGGCTTGTACGCAACATACTCCCCTCGTTGAGAGAGTATCGATCAACATTTTGTGTATATTCAGTCGTGTGGTAACGCATGTTATCGCTGACGGAATCGCATACAGTGCGACGATTTTTCTCTTCTCAATTTCGTCTCCGCCCTCCCGTTACACGCGGACGGACGGGTGTTGCCGTCCCGCTCTCGCTGTCGCGCGCGGGTCGTAAACGAGGGCGCGCGCCGACGACGGGGAGTGTGGTCGCCGGGCGCGAGAAGCGCGGTATACGGACGGATCGAGTCGTCGTCAAAAACCAAAGGGGGGGGGGGGTAAGGATAACGCGCCGGAAAGGAGCGGGATCTCGGTAGCTCCGCGCGTACCGTGCCGAAAGCCGAAGGGTCGACGCGAAAACGAAGATTGGGCGCCAGACGCGGTCTTTCACGCGTCACGTCGCGATATCCGCGAAATAGCACGAACGATAGGTATCGGCCTTCGTCACGGGCAGGCTAGCTCGCCTAACGGTAGAGGGGCTGGGCGGTGGTTGACGCCAAAAGATTCCAGAGGCTACGGGATTTAAGGGACTCACACGACGGACGAGACACACGAAGAGGGACGTACACGAAAAGAAACTCAGAAAAATAATATAAATAAAAACGGGTTTAATATCGGGCGGCGTTAACACGCCGGTTGAGGGGCCGCTATAATGGGCGGCGTCGCTGGCGACAATAATTCAAGCCCCGAGATCGGGGGAAACAACACGCCGCGATCCTCTCTGCGACACGGAACAATCCGGCGCGAACTCAACGGCAGAACTTATCCCTACGCGATAAACCCTACTCGGACGACACGGACGCACTCGACAGGAATTTCTCTCGCGAACGGTACGAGTACCGTCGCACACGCAACACTCGGCCGGGGCGCTTTGCCCGCGAGACTGGGTACTCGGGCCGACGGATCGGCCCGTCTTACAACGACGTGCAAAACGTAACTTCCGCCGGGCAGTTCCCGACGGCTAACTACGGCGAGCCTTTCGCTCGCTCCCGGCCGCGCCGGCCGCGCGGGTCGGCAGGGGATCCTGCTCCGGACGCGCCGTCCTCGCGAAACCCGCCACCGACAACGGCGGAAGCGGCACGGGGTATCGCAAACTCTCACACCGCCGTTCGCACTCTCTCGGTCGTCGCGACTCCTTCACGCCACGCATGCACGCGACACTCCCGCGGCATGCGTACCCCGCGTGATCTCGCGCAACGCAACCCTCGCGCCGCGAATCTCCAGAGCGACCGGCTCTACTCCGCGCGACCGCGACCCTCGGCTCGAACACGCTCACACACACACACACACTCTCACGCGAGGCCTGTGCCCTGCAGGCTCCGGGGTGACCGCGGTTGCTTATCGCCGCGACCGGGACACCAAAGAAAACTCTAAAGCCGGCGGGCCGTAGCCCGGGCGACACCAAACGCGAAATTTTCCCGGCGGCGACAGAACAACCCGGGCCCGGACGCAATCGCACGGGGCGAAACGGACGGAGGAGGATCTCACCGGCACCTCGGCTCTCCCGGGATCGGCAGGCGGCAACGGCTCGTCCTGGGCTCGCGCGGGACCTCGCACTCCTTGGCGGGAAAACGGCGGTAGCGGTAGACCGGGGTCCTCACTCTTACAAATCCGGCAACAGGCTGCTCCGAATTTTCCGCGATCGCGGATCGATAGTTCGGGCCCCCCCCCCCGCGCGGCTGCTCGCGCGAGGCGCGTGCCCCGCGGCCAATCGCGCGACGGCACGCGACAACGCCGGCAGCGAGATCTTCACGATCGGGCGCAGGTGCCCGCGGTATCGCCAAATTTTCTCGCGTTCCCTCGATAGGGCTGTCGCAGCGGCTCCCCCGCTGACGCCCCTCAGGTATCGTGCCGCGGGCCCTGGGCTCCTTCCTCCCGGCTCGCTGCTCCGCTCGCTCCGTTCCCGCTCCGCACGCCTCTCCACCGTGCTCGCCGCGGAATTTGTCCGTTAGCCGGGCCTCTCGTCTCTCCTCTGCCCTCGCGTCCATCCGTCCTCACACGCTCGTGTTCATCATAAAAAAAAAAACAAAATAATCAGCCATACGTCGGAACTTCCGAGTAACGGTCGCCTCTCTGGAGACTGCGGCACGGTTTTCCCTAATCTCGGCCTGTTGCCTTGAGGGAGGAACCCGGTGGACGCGCTCGCGGGACGGCAACGTCACAACAGATTTCTTTAAGGATGTAACAATTATTACATATCGTTTCGTATTAATGTCAAAATAAGGGCGGAATATAAGCATCGATTAATTAGGTGTAATGTTATTCGGGAGAGGACATAGGCACTTCGTATTTCGCTTCATTTCTCCTACTGCGGTTTTGATGGTGGCAACTCGAGTTACACCGTCTTTGCCTGAGTGTAGTTCGCTGATTCTGCCGAGCGCCCATCGTGTGCATGGAAGATTTTTGTCCTTGATTAATACAATTGTTCCGATGTCGATTTTGGGACCATCTTTGATCCATTTGCTCCTTCTTTGCAGTTCATTCAAGTATTCGAGATACCATCGAGACCAAAAGTCCTGTCGCACCTTCGTGATGTGCTGCCAGGTGGACAGTTTATTTGCTGGAACAAATGATACATCGCCCTCCGGAAAGGTCGTTATAGGCTTGCCAATTAAATAATGAGCGGGGCTTAAAACTAACATGTCGTTCGGATCTGAGGAAAGAGAAGTAATAGGACGAGAATTAAGGATACCTTCAATTTCGATAGTGAACGTATTTAGTTCTTCGAATGTGAACAGAGAATCGCCTACTACTCGTTTGTAATGATGTTTAAATGATTTCACAGTAGATTCCCACAGGCCTCCAAAGTGTGGTGCTATTGGAGGTATGAAATGCCACAATATACGATGTTCAGCGGCATATTTGTTCACTTGTTCCTTGTGTTCGTCAGAGTTGAATAGGACGTACATTTCTTTCAGCTGATTATTGGCGCCTACAAAGTTGGTCCCGTTATCGGAAAAGACGTGTTCCGGCAGACCGCGTCGCGCGACAAAGCGTCGCAGTGCAGCTAAAAAACCGTCGGAAGTTAGGTCACTAACGACCTCAAGATGGACCGACTTTATGGTCATGCATACGAAAATGCATACGTAAACCTTTATTCGCGTTCGATTTCGATATTTCTTTTCCTTGATGTGGAACAGTCCACAGAAATCTATTCCGGTATGAGCAAACGGAAATGCATCTCGTACGCGAACTGATGGTAAATTCCCCATTTTGTAATCGAATGTACTAGCATTGAAACGGTGACAGCGCGTACAAGAACGTATGATTTTCCTCACTTGATTTCGACCATCAAGTAACCAAAATTTCTGACGAAGTATATATAACGTGGATTGAATGCCCGCGTGGTAATGTTTTTCGTGAACTTCGCGAATAATTTGGTCAGTCAGGAAATTCCGGCTTGGAAGCAGTATAGGATGTTTTTGTGAAAATGTTAATCCTGATCTTTGAAAGCGTCCTCCAACACAAATCAACTTGTGTTCGTCCAAGAAAGGACTTAACTCTGCTATCTTCCCCTTATGTATTGGACGCGTGGAAGTCAGGTTTTTTATTTCGTTCGAAAATTGAGTAGATTGAAGAATTCTTAATATTCGTATCTCGGATTCGTTAATTTCTGTCGCATCTAATGGTCCAGTATTTCTATTTGAAAGCCGAAACCGAAGACAATATGCGACAACCCTGCACAACTTTGAGTAAGAAGAATATCTTTTAAGTATTTCGCTGTCAAGGTGAATCGTAAGACAAGCATTTCTCCTTAATTCGGTTAATTCGGTTAATTGCATGTTTTCGATAGGCCACTCGCTCTCATTTCTGACTAACCACCGCGGTCCCGAGTGCCAAGTGTCGTTTCGTAAGAAAGTGTGAGGTAATTGACCCCTCGAAATGGCGTCGGCTGGATTATCTCCTGATTTGACGTGTCGCCACTCATATGAACCAGTCAGGTCTTGTATTTCTACGACACGATTTGCGACATAAGTTTTGAGTAGATGAGGCGAGGTCTTTAACCATTGAAGAACAATAGTGGAATCGCTCCAAAAAACGACTTTGTCAGGTGTGATCTTTAAGCATTACTCGTTTCGCGATATAATCGTGCCAGAATCAACGCGCCGCAAAGCTCAAGTCGAGGTATAGTGACGGTTTTTAATGGTGCAATTCGTGATTTAGCACATGCTAATTTGCAAATGATGTTCCGATGTTTACCAACCGATCGTATATATT